TCTGCCTCTGTGTGTGTGTTAAGTACATGCTTGCCACTGAGCTGTGCTCCCAGGCCTTTAAAGTCCCAGTCATTGAAACCATTAAAAAGTTGTCTGCAATAATGACTTCAAGGTATACTTCACAAAAGGGAAGATGACAAGGATATGGCTGTGTCTAGGTGTCCCCCAAGCCTCATGCAGTCATAGGTGGGGGTTTTCTGAGGTTGCTGAGTCCAGAATGTGTGACGCTGGTATTGATTCATGATGCAGTGCTAGGATCGGGGGCACTGGGGTGTGACTGCTGCCCGCACTAAGTAGCCTGGATAAGATACAAGACCTGGAAAGAGCTGCGGTTGGCCCTTGGTGCCCTGCCGCCTTCTGTCTGCCGCCCCACCTCAGAGCCAGCTGATTATGGAATGACCCTCTACAAACTGTGGGCTAAATAAAGCTTTTCCTATTTAACTTTGGATGTCAGGTATATTGTCTCAGGAACAAGAGAAAAGTAAGACAGCAAGGGAAGGAATCATGATGAAGAGTTTTGTTGTAGAAATGCAGGGCTGAAGCAATCTAGAGAACAGCTGCTGCCGACGTCCTGTGTGCTGGCCCTGTAGACACCATCCGTGCCCTCCACAAGCCCACCCAGCCAGCGCCGGTCCCCTGGAGGACTGGACAGTCTACAGACTGTACAGCCTGGGCAGCGGTGGAACGAGGGTCTGACTGTGGGCTGGAGGCGGAGGGACAGGGATGGGCTCTTCTGACAGGGAGGAGCGGCCCTGCATCTGAGTCTGCCTGGAGGAGATGCCAATAGAAAGTGGCTGGCGACGCTGGGTGTTTTCAATGTACTTGGTAGTCATTTGTACCTTTTCTTTTGAGAAGTGGCTATTCATTTCATTTGCCCATACTTTGATGGGGTCATTTGTTTGGGGAGGGTTAATTTTTTTGCATTCTTCATGCAGTGTAACCAAGGTTTTATTCCTCTATCAGAAAAGTAGTTAGTAAAAAGTTTTTCTCCATTCCATAGGTTGTCTTTTCATTCTGTTGATCCTTTTCCTTTTCTGCGTAGAAGGTTTTTTCATTTAATGTACTCCCATTTGTTGATTCTTTTCTTGTCTGTCTTTCATTTTGAGTCAGGATTTTGCTATCCCGTTCACACTGGCCTTGAACTCACTTTGTAGCCCAGGCTGGCCTCCGACAAGCAGCAACTCTCCCGCCTCAGCCTCTCCAGTGCTGAGATTCCAGGCAAATTGTATTATCTGAGCTATCAGAGTTCCATTCAGGAAGCCTGCGCTCACGTGTTTCTCCACTGTGTCATCGGCCAGGAGTTTCAGAGTTCCTGTTTTGGCATCTAGGTCCTCTACCCATTCTGATTTGGATTTAGTACAGGATAAGAGATTGGGGTCATTCCGCGAGACTTTTGCGAGTGAACAGAACTTGCCTCAGCACCACTGGTCAACAGGCCGCCTCTTCTCCTGTGCTGGCCTCTGTCAAAGGGCAGATGGCTGCGGGAGTGCGGGGCTGCTGCCGTGCTCCTGTCCACTCCACGGCTGTGCGCCTGCTCTTTGTGCCAACATGATGCCATTTTCTACTGTAGCTTTGTAGTGTCCCTCCAGCCTGGCTCTCTTTGCCCAGGATTGCTTTGGTTCCTCTGGGTGTCTTCCGATTCCATATGAATTGTAGGAGCGAGTTCCACATTTATAACGACCCCCTAAGCCTGTCCTGAACTCGCCTTTTTACTTCAGTGAAATGAAAGGATCACGCTTGGCACACCGCACCGCAAGGGGAGGAGCCCCCGAGCCACACTCGAGCAAGCCCGGGGGAGGCTGCCAGTCTGTGAGCACAGCCTGCTGGGTCCGCTCACCCACACCCCGTGCCCCTCTGTGGTCAAAGCTTCCCAAGGCAAGCGCGCCCTCACTGTGGAACCTTCCGGCTCAAAGCTGTCAAAGCACAAGGATAACCTAGCAGGGCGCCGAGGCTCCTGTGGGCTCCTGCCTTTGTTCTGAGCAGAACTGGAACATGGAGAGTATGGTTTGGGTTCCATGGCCCTTCCTGGGCTCACAGGGAGGCAGAGTCACTTGTTCAGTCGGCTTCTGCGCAGCATCCCGAAGGCGTTCTCCCTCCTCAGGGCCGCTGTGCTAGGTGTGGAGTTCCCTGCCGCTTTGCGCTCAGCACTAGGGAGGCTGTAGTTCCTTCCTTCCGCATGTGCTTCAGTCCTGCCCGTTCCTGTTGTGTTGAAGATCGTGGGCTGCTTCCTTAAAAGCCTTCAGCCAGACAGGGCTGGAAGTTGGTCTCCTGCTAGCCCAGCCGTCTGCGCCCTGAGCGGCTCAGGCTGGAGATCTCCATGGAAGGTCTCACCCAGTGCAGAAGCTGGGTGGGGTGGGTGGGGGTGGGGGGCACAAATCTGACCAGTTCTTGTGGAAAATGAGGGAGCAGACGTATCCCGCAGCAGTGCGCTCATGGGACACGGTGGTGGTTTACACACCTGCAAGGCCACTTTCTGCAAAGGGTACCACGCCTGGGAAGAATGCTCTTTTGTAGTTGCATAGGGCATGTGCATGACCCAGAGGCTTGCTGGTTTTGGAAACTGGAAAGTGTGTTAGAGTGTGAGTGTGTGTGTGTGCGCGCGCGCACGCATGTCTCATTGAGGGGTGAACTTAGGGTCTTGTTCATGCTGAGCTCCATTGTGTACTACTGAGCTATATTCCTGGCCCTGAAAAGTTGTTTTTGGAATGTCAGTCATTGAGGAAACTACAGTTTTAAAAACCAATTCCCTCTGAATTGCCTGAAGGTTGACATGTCGTAGTCTGAGTACCAGGATGTGAATCATTGAGAATTATGGGGCTTCCTTCCCATTCCAGCAGGGGTGCCATCTATTCTTGGATCAAAGCAAGTCCTTCCATTCCAGCTATGGATGAGGTACAGCCAACTGCAGTGCAGTGACAGCTGACCAGGATCTACAAAAGTATGTGACAAGTCGAAAACAAGTCCAAAGCCATGTCAAAACTTCATTTCTAGGTAGAAAAAAGACCAGAAGAAAATAAGCTCAAGTGCTGAGAGGAGCAAAAAACCTGAGTTTTAGAATCACAGGCGATTTCTTTTCCTTTCTCTGTATTTTCTGGGCTTTGCAAATTTGCTACGCCATCACTTTTACAGTATAAAATAATATCAAAAACCAGCTCCCCTTTTTCTTTTCCTGAAAAGGCTTCATGTGACACCTGGGACAGAAGCAGAGGACTGTAGGACAGTGGCAGGTAGGCCCGAGCAAGTCTTCCTGTTTACTTCTGCACTCTGATTCACTTAGCTGGTTGGAATATCTGAGGCCTGGAGCGTTCGAAGTCGAAGGAGCTCACATTACATGTTTCTGGGGACCTTCGTTACGTCTGCAAGGATCTTTAAACAGGATTCCTCTATTAAATTCTGGTGGACCAGCAGAGGAAAGCCCCTTGGGCAGAGCCACCAAGTGAGCGGAAGCGGTCGTGGCGTGCCTGTCCTGGCTGTTGTCCTCTGCTGGAGTCCAGGGCCATCTAACTCCGTGTTAGGGTTGCACACTGGCTAAGACTTTTGAGCCTCTCTTCCTTCCTGCGCATTTCATCTTACCCAGAACGTTGGAGGGCAGGTGGGAGTGCTCTTCCAGGGCTCCTGCTCAGATTCTTCCTCGCCATCTCTGCCCCAAGGATGCACTCCAATGTTTAGAGGAAGGACGTGAGTAGGAAAGGCCCGCATCGCTGGGGTGCCTTCACTTTAGAGGGGAGTCAGGCCTGAGAGGGCGACGGTCACTGCAGCCAGACTCACACGTGCAGCAGAGGGATCTCTGGAGCCATGCCCTCAGCCGGACTCTGCTGCAGAAATTTTTATTTTTTTTATTTTTTATTTTTTGGCAGAACCAGGGATTGAACTTAGGCCCTTTTGCTTGCCAGGGAAGCGCTTATCCACTGAGCCATCTGTCTGCCCCCCCCCTTTTTTTAATGTGTATTTTTGAAACACTGTGCAGTTTAGGCCAGCTTTGAGCTCACTTTGTTGCCCAGGCTGGCCTTGAACGTGCAATGATCCTCCTGCATCCACCTCCCAAGTGCTGAGATTACAGGTATGCACCCCCACACCCAGCTGCATAAATATTCTCAAAACACAAACTTTTCTTTAAAAAAAAATCTGGGTATCGAGACACAAGTAACATGCCATAGACTTCACCCATCTAAAGCACATAATTCAGTAACTTTTAGTATATTCACAGAACTGAGTAACCATGGTCACAATTAACTTTAGAACATTTTCATGACCCCTGAAAGCAGCCCTATGCCCTCAGTTCTCGCCCTGTTTTGTCCCTTCCTAGGCAGCCCGTCATCTGCTTTCTCTCTCAGTAGACTTACCTCTTCTGGCCACTTCACGGCAGTGGGTTCATACGACGTTTGTCACCACTTTCTCACGGTGCGCTCCTACCGTAGCATGCGCCAGCCCTTCGTCTTTTCTGCTGCCAGGTGGCATTGTACCGAGATGCCCCACTGTGAGCTGCTATTTTGATATCAGCTGATATTCTGAGTCAGCCCACTTTTGACCAGGCTAAGTGATGCTGCTATGAATATTCATATACAAGTCTTTTGTGTGGACAGAAGTTTGGATTTCTCATGGGAATGTATGCAGGAGAAGAATTTCTGGGTCTTACGATAGTCCCGTGATTCACTTCTGAGACGCTTGCAGGCAGCGTCCCTAAGCCCCACTCTGCTTCTTGTTCCCACAGTGGCGTATAGGTGCCTCCGCCTCCTTGAGGCACATACTGTCTGCCTTTTCTGTGGAACTGCCCAGTGAGTAGAAGGGGAGCGCACTGTGACCCTGACACTGCCTTTTCCCGATATGTGCGTGTAGAAGCCCTCAGTGGTTGTCCCCTGTGTCTTTGTAGGCGCATAGTCTAGTGGGGGCTCCAGGCCATCGCCACCTCTGCCTCAGCCTCCCTCCCCACTGCTCCCACCGGAACCCATCAGCCTGGCCCAGACCGCCTCCTGGCTTCCTTCCCCCTGTGTGTTACAGGCCCCAGTATCTTCCCCCTGCCCAGCTGCTCTTGAAGTTACCCTGGAATCAGAACTCAGATGGGATGGGGGGTTGGGGCTCCCAAAGCAGGGGGAAGCGGGGAGCGACCTCTTGGGGCAAGGGCAGGAGCAGCCTGGAACAGCCAGGAGGCTGTGGCGATTCCAGAACGTGCAGTCGAGGGTGCCAGGGATCGGCTGTTTCCTCTGGTGTTCTGCTCAGCGGGTGACGTGCTGGCCATGCACTCAGAGCCAGAGGAGGGAACAGGACCTAGGTCCTCAAGAACCAGCTGATTTTTTCCTCTGCTCTCCTTCCCCTGCAGAACTGGTAAGGGGCCTTTCAAGCCTGATCCAAAGCTCTTACATTGTAATGAAGAAACCCACTTAATACACTTATAACGAACATGCTAGACACCTTTCTATTTTAAAAAACATTTCGTTTGCATAGTCTTCTCTGAGTTCCTATTTTGGTGATACTTGGGTTCTGTCCGGTTCCTGGAATTCACTGCTGTCGTGAACAACTCTACTACTCTAAGTTAGTGTGAAACAAAGCCTTTACTTAAATGTTGTTCAGATCAACACGTGCCCCTGAATCACTTTGCTAATACAAGTGACTTGTGTTGCTTCAGCACAATGGTTTCATTGACCGTTGATGGCCTTTGTGTGTGTGTGTGTGTGTGTGTGTGTGTGCGCATGCGCTGGAGATGGATCCCATTGCCGTGTCTATGCTAGACAGATGCTGCACCATTGAGCCGCGACCCCTGGTCCTGCAGAAGCATCTTAAATCCAAAGTTGCGTATTTACTTTTTCCCAAAGGCGAGGCTCTCTGTCTTGGCTCAGAGGCGGGACTTCCAGCAAGAGTCCACCTTAGCAGGCAGCCAGCTCCCTTATCAGAGCAGGACATCCTGCTCCTAAGTGAGCAGCTGCCGGGTGGAATCTAGCCTGCTGGCTGGCTGTTTAACCACTTGAAGCAAAGCTCACGTGTGTGGCCTTTCCCAATGGGAAGCTCTACTTCAGTTGCAAGCAGGTGCTGTTGTAGCCCTAGATGAGTGAGGACAAACCTTTGAGAGCCTTCAGGGATAGCAGTAACCAGCGGCAGCACCCGTGCTGTAGATTCTCCACCACCGCCCCAGAGGGACTGGGCTTGGAGAGAAGTGGATGCGACTTCAGGGCGCAGGGGTAAAGATGTGAATAAGAGCATGTTGAATATGCTACATTCAGATTGCTTAGATGTGGAGAGGACATGGTGGGTGCCAAGGTAGGCCATCGTCTATGAATTTTGCTGATTGAAACGCTTTGATGACAATAATCCACAGAAATGTCTAATGCCCTTCCTCTCCTGTCCAGTAGGTGGCACTCTGGTCGCGCTGTTTGCAGGCTCTCTTTCAGCCTTCCGGTTTTCCTCCCTTGGTCATGGGCTTTTCATCTCGTGCTGCTTCCCCTCCAGGTCTGTGCGCGCTCTCTATCAACCATTCCAATTCCTACCTGGCCTATCCTGGAAGCCAGACGACAGGCGAGATTGTGCTTTATGATGGAAACTCCCTGGTGAGTTGACAGTGGCCCGGCCACCTGCCTTGGCTGTGTGGCGGTGGAAGAAACGCTGGGGGGTGCTTGGGTGCAGAGGAGAAGGGGGGTCTTTTGCCCAGGCTTTACACCCATCCATTCACTGTGAGCAGGGACAGGGCAGGGCAAAACGTCTGCAGCAGGACGGAAATGGCCTGCAAGCTGGTGGCAGATGCTCACGCCGGTGGCCTGAGACAGCCTGCTGGTCTCCGAGCCTTCCAGAGTGGCACAGGCCCAGTCTGTTGTGTCAGGAGCCCTTGAAGGGGAACCCGCTAGCACTCAGTCCACATCAGACACCCAGGTAGATGTCCACCTTCCCAAGGCCGGGAAGGAGAGAGGAGGAGCAGCTCTTGACTGCGGACAAGGACACGGAGCTTGTAGGCATATGGGAGAGACAGAGGAAACCCAGTAAGCGAGGGAGACAGAAGACGAAGAAAGAGGAAGGAAGGAGAGGAAGTGCACCATCTTGCGTGGCGCTGGCATCTGTGTCTCTTTCACCCACAGAAAACAGTCTGCACCATCGCTGCCCACGAGGGGACACTGGCTGCCATCGCCTTCAACTCCTCGGGCTCCAGGCTAGCAAGCGCATCAGAGAAAGTAAGCGCATTCCCTTCTCCTGCTGGCTGGGGGTGCACTCACTGGCTGCCCCCACGGGCGCCGGCCCAGAGAGCTGATGGACCGAGGCTGGTGACTTGACGGGCAGCTGACTGCCCGGAGCCCACATGGGGTGCGTTTCAGAGTGAGACTTTCGGGCCTGTGCAAGTTACTGTCTGTTGACTACTTGTTGATTCAATAGCTCCAAGGCTATGCCAGGCAAGACACGAACACTTGACACAGACACTGTGCTCTTCTTGAGAAGTATCCATGCGTATCACCCCTGGAAAAAAGACTGCATTTCAAAATGTAGCGATATAAACAAAATCTTTGCAAGTTAGCCAGAGAGAGTGATCGCTTCTATCTTGATAACCAAGGAAGTGATCAGGCTATATTTCAGATGCCATATATAGCAGCCCCTTTTGGCTAAGCAGAGAGAAAGACTATTGGAGGAAGCCCTTGCAGGCCAGGAGATGTGTGCACACGTGCGTACACATACACACATGCACACACACATGTGCACACAGAGCCTTGCACAGGGACAGGGAACGAAAGGCTGGCAGAGCGTGTCTAAAACATGATTTAGTAATTGTGCATCCAGCACGTATCTAATTAAAAACACTCCGTGCCTAGCACTTGGTGCTTCCTTCTCAGAGCCAAATGTTTTGAAACCATCCACCGGCTAGGGGGACGTCTCTGTGTGAAACCGCTCATGGGGGGGCCCTGCCCGCCTGTTTTCTTTTCCAGGGTACAGTCATCCGGGTCTTCTCGGTACCTGACGGGCAAAAGCTCTATGAGTTCCGCAGAGGAATGAAAAGGTCTGTGCTCAGTGTCAAAGCCATTTCAAGTCCCCACACGAGGGCTTTGGCGACCAGTGGGCAGTCCTCAGGGAGCGGACAGGAGGCTTCGGCCTGCTCTTGCCTAGAGGAAGTATTGTTTGTTCCTTTCTCGGCTGACTTCAGCGCTTCGTGGAGGGCTCAGTAAATGTGAAAAATGCTTATGCTATTTTAGCATAAGCATTGAGCCATGAGAGTTTTTTTGATAGGCAATGAAGAGAGGAGAAACAAAACCAGGGAGTGGGGCCGGCGAGATAGCTCAGCGGTCTGAAGGCAAGCTTAGGCAGGTGCCAGGGACTGCAGTTCAATCCCTGGCATCACATGCCACAGCAGCCCCGCCCTTAGGGAGGGCTGAGCGAGTGAAAGAAAAAACGAAAGAAAGCCAGGGAATCACAGTCCAAAATTAACTTCTAATTCTCTTCCATGGAAATAAAAGGTAAAGTAAGGCCCGACTGTTTGGGCTCGTGTGAGCTGTAGAGTCTTATACTTGGATCAGAGCCCAGAGCGCCTGGAAGGTGCCCATGGCATCAGGAAGGTCCCGTCTCCCCTCTGCTGGCTGGGAGGACGGGCCAGGCTTTATGCTTTGCACTTAAGATGCTGTCCCTTTGTTGAAGTGTTGAAGGGGTTTTAGAATACCTGGGTCCTTCAGAATCCGCGTACTTTTCTCACAAAACTGATGGGGACCTGAGAGGTGGTGACCCTCGCTTTCCTGGCTCACTGGCACACGTGTTGCTGTCCCTAGGTACGTGACGATCAGCTCTCTGGTTTTCAGCATGGACTCCCAGTTCCTGTGCGCCTCCAGCAACACGGAGACCGTGCACATCTTCAAGCTGGAGCACCTCACCGACAGGTGCGTGCAGCCGCAGGGCACGTGAGGCGTCGGCTTTCTTTCAAGCTCCATAAGCTTGGCTCCATCTTTACCACCGTGGCAGAGCGCGTGTGTATTAGTGGAGACAAAATACTCAAAAGGAGAAAAGGTTTGTTTAGTTCACAGTTGGTAGTCAGCTGGCTCTGAGGCAGAGTGGCATCAGCGCATCACCAAGAAGAACAGTTCATAGTGGACAGAGGTAGCAGGACAAAGCAAAGGGTGCCTGCAGCTCTTTCTGTCCCTTATATCTTATCCGGGCTTCTCAGGGCAGGCAGTACTCACACCCTTAATCTAGTGCCCCTGATCCTAGCGCTGCACCTTGAATCAATCCCAGTGTCACGCCCTCTAGGTCCAGCCACCTCTGAAAAAGCCCCACCTGTAGGAGGGTTTGAGGGGTCAGCGAGACAAAACCATCACGTTCTCCCCCGATCCCTCCCAAAGACTCGTGCACATCGCTTTATACAAAAGGCATTTAGTCCGTCTCTAAGAGTTGCGAGTCCTAACAGCTGCAGTACTGCTGAAAAGTCCAAGGCTGAAGTCTCCTCTGAGTTTCAGGGCACACTCTTAGCTGTGAGCCCCTGTACAAATAAAAGTCAAACACTTCCAATATTAAATAGCACAAGATGAACATTTCCATTCCAAGGCTTACAAATGGGGATAGCAGGGATTGAGAACAAAGCAAGACCACAATCCGGCAGGACAAGTCTAGATCCCACAGTTGTACTTCTAGCAACTGCAGCAATCCGTGGCAAGTTTTGAACTCCCAAGGGTGTGGGTGGCTCCACCCCTGTGGCACAGCTGGTGGCTGTAGCTCCGTGGCTTCTCTCTTGAGGCAGTTGTGCTGCTTCCTTGCAGTTTTTCTCAGACGATCCATGTTCCAACAAATTTCTGGGTTCTCCTCTGAACCTTGGGCTTTGCACTCACAGCTTCACACGCTTCTCTCTCGGGGACACACTGTCCGGCCTGCCAGGCCTGCCCCTGAAATCTGAGTGGAAGCCTTCTGGGCCCACAGCTCTCGCACTCTGTACGCCCCTAAAACCAGCCTGCATGGATAGTGCCAAGGTCTGCTGTCACCTGGAGCAGTCGCCAGGCTTAGGGTTCGCAGCACTGAAGTGGAGGTGCCTGAGTGCCCGTGGTGTTCCCCAGGGCTAGAATCACCGTCTAGGGGCATGCTCGCTGCTACTTTCAAGGATGCAGGTGCCTACAGATGTGGCGGTGAGGTCACCGCGTCCTTGCTGGCTGTCGGGGAGAAACACTCTCCCGAAAGGCTACCACGTTCCTCCCCACACGGCCTTCAAGCCGGCAGTGCCACACTGATTTCTTCTCCTGGCTTGTGTGTCCTTCTTGGCCTCTGCCTCCCCTTTCTGCCTTCAGTGAGGCAATCCAAGCCTGGGCCTCATGCGTGCTAGGCACAGGCCCCACCACTAACCTGTCCTTCAAGAGAAGTTTGTGGTTTGGTTTTTTGGGCGGTTGTTTCTTGGAGATGAGGACTGGCTATGCTATTCTGGCCTTGAATCTGTAATCCTCCTACCTCAGCTTCCTGGGCAGTGGGGACTACAGGTACATACCTCCACGCCCAGTCTGGTCTGTTCAGAGCAGGACATGTGACAGAACCCACCCACACCATCTCCTGCCAGAGGCCACTTGGGCTAAATAAGATGGTAGTCGCTGATAGCTCTTTATCATCCTGCCCTGAGGCGCAGGGCATAGAATCCTTTCCTAGAGATTCTGCCTGATGGAGAGTGCGCACTTTAGTTCGTAGCTTCTCGGAGTCTCCTGTGAATGTGGCCATGTTCACAGGAGATATTTGCCTCAGAAGCAGTGTGGCATGCCTGCCCTCGCCACTGTCCATAGCAGCGTCACTTAGTCACCCTTCCTCCTGATGTGGTCTCTACACTGATTCTGGTAGCAAAGCAAGTGGCTTACACCGTGTGTGTGTGTGTGTGTGTGTGTGTGCGTGCGCGTGTACATACACATGCACACGCATGGTCCTTCCCCACCTGTGTCTCTTGATGCTTCTTTCCAGGAGTCATTATAAACCCAGAACATGAAATTTTAGTGACTTCCTCAGTCCTACCTGGAAGCAGGTGGCAGAGCTGGGGGTGATAATGACACTTGTTCATTTGTAATTTGCAGAGCTTTTGCCTCGCTTCCTCCCTCAGGCCCCAGCGTAGTTGCTCTGGAAGGAGGGAGAGAAGGAGTTTGGTAACTGAAGGCCCTGAGGTCCGAGAGCTCAGTGTCTTGCTCAGAGCTGACCTTGAGGGCCAGGGAGATAGCTCAGCGGCATAATCACCTTCCTGGCAAGCATGAGGTCCTGAGTTTGATCCCCATTACTGAAAAAAAAAAAACAAAAAAACAAAAAAACAAAAAAACCCCTCTGAACTCAAAGCTGACCTGGGGTCCCCAGGAAGGGAAGCCTCACCCCTGCCCAGCTCCCCTGGTAGCACAAGTGGATGCTCTGGCAGTGCTGCCCATGAGCACATCCTTGGGGGCTCAGTCAGGGTGGAGGGGCTTCTCCTGGGCCCGGAAGTTCTTTTCTCACGGTGTAGGACTTTCATGAGGGCAAGAATGTTTTCCACCTGATGAGAGTGAGGCGGTGCTGGCCTGTTCCTGTGTGCGTCAGATGACTTCACCCAGTGCTGGCTGCTCCTCCCTCCCTGTGACCCCAGGACCCCACCAAGGAGTCGCCCAAAGCCAAGGGCTTTTCATGCCATTTCTGCCTTTTCTGTGTTGCGTTATCAGGCTTGTGAAGCTAGGAAACCCTGTCCCCTGTTGGCGCTGGGGACCTTGGGACGCCCCTCTTCCTGCTTCCTGATCTCCGCACAATGCTTCTAACTCCATCCCTGTGAGCAGAGGAAGCATCCCGGAGCTCTTCTTCGCTCTCCGCTTCTGACTCCAGACTCCCTGGACGTTGTATCCGTTTTCCAGATTATTCTGTCGTGCCCCAGGAAGCCTGTGCAACCCAGCCCTGGTGTCTTCTGGAGCTTTCCCTTTTCTGTTGCCACAGGCAAGCCCTAGTGAGCCCTGAGGCTGACAGGGAGGAAGTACTCCCAGACCCTGCTTGAGTCCCATCCTCTCAGGGCTCTGTCCTACCCTCCTGTGTTACCCTCCTTGAGCGCCCCCTCCTCCCATTGGCCACAGGTTGCTTCCTGTCCTTCAGGGTGATCTCAGCCCATCCACAGGTGCTGTTCTCTCCCAGACCCTGGGGCCCCATTTTCCTCTCCAGTGCTGTCACTAGCCACGCCCTTACCTGTGGCTTTAACCTCGTGCTCACATGTGGTCTCATTCAGCCCTGCTCCCTGGGCCAGTCTGTTCCGTATGCTCTTGCTGGGTTTACTCTGAAGACGCTCCCTTGGGCGTAATGCAGCCTCAGAGTGCTTGTTCTGCTTCTCTTTGGGAGTGAAGAGACAGCTCCTCTGCTGCGTGCAGAGCGTGGCTGCCGCCACCCCAGAGCCCCTGACACTCCTGCAGGCTCTGTGCCGCCTGCTGCATGCCTGGCTCTCAGCTGGACCCCTTTAGCTCTCCCAGCAAGCCTGAGATCATCCCTGTTTTCCAAATGAGGACACATGGAAACCAAGAGGCTCAGAACCCTTGCCCTCCTTCCTCCACTGTGGAGTATCTCCTGCCTACACCAGCATGTGGCACTGAACATAATGGCTGGGTTATTTTCCTGCTTATACGTGCTGGCTGTCCACCGTGAGCACAGGGTCTGGGGGTCTGTCCTTCTACCTTGCGAGTCCCAGGCCGGAACACAGGGCTCCAGGGCCACGGCATATGGCTCCCAAAGAGTCACTTTTGGTTGAGGAGGTGAAGGCTCAGGGAGGTTTGTCCAGAGCACACCTCGCTGGCTGGCAACAGTAAGAAATGAGGTGCAGGGTGTGTCCCATCGGGATCTGGTCCTGTGCTCAGGTGGCATCCCTGTGGGGTGTCCTGTTTCCTATGGAGAACACACGTGGCAGCCCTGGTCCTCGATGCACTGCCCGCAGTGCAGGATGGAGAGCTCAAGGTGTCTCTCCCAGCAGAGCATCACATCCCGACTCCTGGGAGCTTCCAGAGGGAGTTTCAGGACAGCAGGGGGCCCGAGAGTTACTGAGACAGCGGCTGCAGGAGCCTGCTGGCCTCAGGCTCAGCGCCGTAATCTGCCTGGCTCGGGACCCTTAACACACACAAGGGTCTAGCCTTCCTTGAGCCCTGAACAGATCTGAGCTCATTTTACGGGGTCCAGATACTGATTATGTCTCATTCCTCTCCTCTTGCCCTCGTAAGAAATTTAGCAATCAGACTAATCATCAGAGTTCTTTAATGTGAGAAAGCAGTAGCACCGAGAGCCTTTTACGAGCCTTATAGTGGCTCCTCGGGGGACACACAGGCCCTCGGTGTGCAGAATAATGAGACCCAGTGGGCAGAACACTGTGCCGAGGGACAGCCCCTGCCTGCTGCGGTGTGCTTGGCCGGAACGTTCAGATGTGCAGGTTCCGGGCTGGTTCCCGGCTGGCAGTGACCCCACCCTTGTCTCCACACTGCTCCCCAGCCGCCCAGAAGAGCCTTCCACCTGGAGTGGCTACATGGGAAAGGTGTTCATGGCTGCCACCAACTACCTCCCCGCCCAGGTGTCGGACATGATGAACCAGGACAGGGCCTTTGCCACCGGCCGCTTGAACTTCTCTGGGCAGAAGAACATCTGCACACTCTCCACGTACGTACCCCACGCCCTGAGCAGACACGCACTCAGCACCTTCTCCGAGCCCAGAACCCCCAAAGGGGGAACTGGCTCACAGGAGGGGTGAGCTGAACCAGCTGACGTAATCTGCTGCTTTTCCTCTCTGATTTTAACATGGATTCTCGCGGGCAGCTGGCAGCGGCTATGGGAATATCAGTGCCCGGTCATAACAGCATGCCCAATTTTGCTGGAATCAGGCAAGAAACTTCAGGTTCTGTTGTGTAAATTCAGGCACTACTGGAGTGACATGTCCTCTTTAAGTAGTTTAATGAAGTTTACTAAAGAAGTAGACCACTTAAAATCCTTCCAAACCTAACCAGCCAAGACGGCAGGCGAATCGCAACCTTCTCCCCTTCTTGTCACCATGAAAGCAGAGACCCGTGGGAGGTGGAGACTGCCCCACTTAGTGGCCATAGCTTTCACAGGACGACAGTACCTACGCACGTCATCTTGCCTCCTCTTCACAGTTATGTTCAAGGACCAGAAATAACCCTGAAAGTAGGTCCTTAGGTCAGAACAAAGGCATGTGCAGAAGCCCAGACTCAGGATCAGTAGGCACAGGGTTGTCCCTGGCAGGAGCATCGGCGACAGCCAAAGGGAGTAGGGTCCTGCTAGCCAGCCGCAGCTGGCCCAGTTACCTCTGCGCTGTAGAAACGCTGACAGTCTTCCTGCAGCCTGAATCTCCAGACCCTACCAAACTCCTCCCAAAAACCACACTAAAGCCTTCTGAGCCATGTAGTCAGGAACAGTCACAGCAATGACCCCACTTCTGTGTTGGTGCAGACCAGCAGGTAACCACCAGGACCAAAGTGCCTGACTGCACGGCTCTCTGGAGGCAGGGCTCATGTGGGCTCCTGGCTTCCGAGGCTTCAGTTCAGAGTCAGCTGACTCCAAGGCACGACCACAATGGTGGAAGGAGATGGTGAAGGAAAGGGGCTCATTCAGGACAGGCAGGAGACAGAGCGGGGCAGGCGGGGGAGTGGGGGGCAGGGGGCCAGCACATACCTGTCAGGTGGTGCCCCAGGCCTTCCTCCTAAGGGCATTAAGCTCTGACCTGGTTCGATCTAAACCATGCCCCTAGAAGCCCCGCCTCTGAGCCCTTGAGCCTTTGGGGGACATTTTTGCTATGACATCAGTCATTAGGTCAGAACACAAGCAATGGCAAGCCTGGACTCTGGATTACTGGAGAAGAGCTTGTGCATGGCAGGAAAGTAGTTGACAGGTGGGGTGACCAGGCCTTGACAGGCAGTTGACATGGCTGCTTTCCCGTAACCGCTATCCTGCTTCGCTTGGCCCTCAGGATCCAGAAATTGCCCAGGCTGCTGGTCGCCTCCTCCGATGGCCACCTTTACATCTACAACCTGGACCCTCAGGACGGTGGAGAGTGCGTCCTCATCAAGACCCACAGGTGGGCATGCTGGCTCTCCGAGTATACTGCTCAGGGGTCGGCAGCTCAGAGCTGCTGCTTCAGGGCCTCCCGCTCCTCTCACCGCCAGCTCCTCACCAGCAGTCTGGGCAGCAAACCCATGGCGGTACCTGCTTTGCTCAGGTGTGCTGCCAGGAGCCCCCAGTGCGCTGCCCTTCCGGATGGTACCAGGATACATCACACCATGGACTGTCCAGCCCTGCCCCAAGTGCACAGTGGGTGTTCAGACTTGGGTCACAGTGCAGGCTGCCTTCTGTCCCCCTGTGAACCAGCACCATGAGCTGCCGCTGCAGCCTACCCATGGCTCCTATGCACATTCACATGTCGTGGCGTTCTTACCTGTATGTACAGGAAGGGCAAAGGCCGGCCTTTGGCTACTGAGTATGAGAGGAGGTCTTTCTGCAGCTGCCTGACTGACCCCTGGCACTCTAAGGCCACCTCGGTTCCTCCTGGCCTAGCTGCATGCAAGCAGGCTTCTAACTTGCAATCAGCAGACTGCATCTCTGAGCCACCCCTTGTGACAGTTTTCTAGATAGGTGATTGTTCTTTTCCCCTCTTAATTGCTGCAAGTAGCTTGCTTGGCTCAGGAACCACAGATGAGAACAAAGAAAATGACCTCAGACCTGCCTTACCTCAGTCTTACGCAGCGACTGCAGCCAGACCAAGCGCCTCTGCGGCCTCCACTGTGCCAGGTGAGCGGCGTGGGGCCTGTCTGTCCCCACTTACCCGGGGCTGCAGTGCTCCCCTCGAGCTGTCTCCTCGCAGATGAGGCCTGATGACAGCTTCCACCAGGGCCCTTCGCCCCACGAGTGTAGCGCTGGAGGGTCAGTCAGCATTACCCTTCGCCACTTGGACGGTTCCCAAGAAGTGGCGATTTCAGGCCTCCAACATAGACGCGGGGATGAGACCGCCAGCTCTGCGTCTCAGCGACTGTCCCTGACGAGGTCCAGGTGGGGGGAAGGCAGAGGTGGCTCCTCGGGTTCCTCGAGCCACCCTTCCTTTGAGGAGGTCCTGTCCCTGGGCCGTGGGCCGAGAACTGACCGTGGGACTTCTTCCCGTCTCGCTCTCGGTTTCCAGGTTACTCGGAGGACGGCGGGGCGCTCCGTGGAGAAGTGATTCCAGAGCACGAGTTTGCGACGGGGCCAGTGTGTCTCGATGATGAGAATGAGTTTCCCCCTGTGAGCACGAGGGACCCGTAAGGGCCGCCGTGTCCGTGCCGGACGCAGCTTTGCCTTGCCCAGGAGGCCACACCGCTGGCCCCGCTCCCCAGCCCCTCACCACTAATCCTCTTCTCTGACATCCAGAGAGCGGTTTAAATGCCCACGGGTGCTTCGGCTCCTGCCCACGACCGTGCGGCGGTGCCCTGAGCCCTGACAGCACTAGGAAAGCTGAGTACTAATCTGGGGACCTTGGGGCGCTCAGCACACCCAGCCCCCTGGGTTCCTTCCCTCGGCCTCTGTGTATGGATGTTGCTGCTCATAGTGGGGAAACTTCTGCGTCTGGAAAGCTCTTGAGTTTCTGGCAGCTCTGAGGGTGCTTTTGCAGAATGCTGCCTTCCTGCCGCTGCAGGGGACGCGTTAGTGGGAGTGGGCATGGAGCTGACATGTCTGCAGGGCTGCTGCCCTGCACCCCGCTTCTGGCCCCCACAGGGCAGACCCAGCCCTCCCCAGCAGATGCGGGCATTTGTTAAGACACCCCCAGGGGAGGCCCGGGCTGGGATGTGTGAGGTCTTCTGGGCGTCTTTTTCTTTTATTTGAGGTATTGGGGATTGAGCTGTATTCCTGGCCCTTCTTATTTTTTATTTTGAAAGTCTTGCTAACTTGCCCAGGCTGGGCTCAAACTCAGGCTCGTCCTGCGCCAGCCTCCCAGGACACTGGGGTTACAGGTGTGCCACCTGGCCGTCTTCAGTGGGGCTTCCCAGCCTCCTCCTGCAGCTGTTCCAGCAGCAAGGGCCCGTGGGCTGAGTGCTGGGCTCATTTGTTTCTGACGTCTCGTGTCTGGAGAAGGATGCCCTCCTGGGGAAGGAGGCAGGGTTTCCCTAGCTGTGGCTTCTTCAGGTTTCCATCTTGGGAAGCACAGAGGCCCCTTTCTGTGAGCTTCAGTTAGCGAACAGCCCAGCGAGTCAACCTGAAATCATTGCAGATGGAAGCAGTAGCAGACCACGGCTTGGACAACTGACTCCTAGAGCCGGAGAAGGCGGCCACAGTGTGCCCAAGGCCTTGGATGGAGTGTCCCTTGGTGACCGTTGCTGTGTGTCCATGAAAGCCATTTGTAAAAAGGCAGTGCAGGTTTGGCGTCTTTTTCCCACGGGTCGGTGGAACAGCCTAGGAAGCACGTTTGGCTGGAGGAAGAACAGCTCTTGAGGGCCCTTTGTGCATTGCTGGGGGTGTTTGTGACTTCCCTGTTGGCTCCGGGGACTGCAGCTTGAGACTGACATTTCTGGCCTTTCGTAGCCAGGTTTCCAGCAGGTGCTGTGTGTGTTTTAGCGGTAGAGAGGAGCCATTTTCTAAACTATGAACTTACATTTTCAAGCATTTGTTGGCTTGCTGCCTACCGTAGTTGCTGCCCAAACCAGTTGTTTTGCCTCTAGGTTCTTGTGATGCCGACAGCCCTGGAGGGAGTTTTTTTCTCTCTCTCTCTGAGAGTTAGTGATTATTTCATTGAAATTGCATCTCTCAGGAACCAGAGCATTCTGGGTCAGACACAGTGGGGAGAAATGTGCCTGCCACGCTCCCTCCAGGTTTAGAGCACTCAGTCGCTCGCTGGGTTCTGTTCTGACAGTTTGGGCAGAAGCCTGTGACTGGCCTAAAAGGCTGCAAGATTATGAATTGCATTCTTGGTTGTAATCAGTACAATCGCAGCCTCTCATGTTTAGAGTCAGGGGAAGAAGGACACCAGCAGGTAGGAGGTAGTCAGTCCCCTGCCATAGAACACCTGCACGAAACCTTAAGTAGCCTGCGTGCGCGTGCATGGAGTGCAAAAGGCTGGAGATGCTAGCGCATGCGAACCACTGCCAGGCCTGCACCCACACGTGGCGCAGGAGGCGGGCGAGCGCCAGGCGTCCCCTCTTTCTTAAGGACCAGATGAGTAAAAGTTGGCTTACATTTTAGCAAGAATTTTTATTAATCTAGAAGAAATGTTTCCTCTCCGAGAGAAAGCTGGGCATTGAGTGAGGTCACCAGAGCAGTTGACACCATGTCCCACAGCCCCCAGACACAGGGCAGCTCCTTAGGTGTCGTGGCAGACCCCAGACCCAGCTTGTCCTTGTCCTGCAGGTAGATGGGGAGGGGACACCATCCATCTCCTGAAGGATGGGGTTGGTGGCAGGCAGCCTTCCCCTGTCCCCATAAAGGGACCAGAGACGTGGGTGCTCTGGGGCTGTGCTCAGCGTGGCCTGTGTCAGCTGCCCTGCAGCGGCAAGAGTGTCCCTTCAGGGATGCTGAGACCCCTCTTCTGACCTTTGTTCTAAGTTACCGTGTCTGCCGCAAGCATTTGTCCAGAATCCACATCTTTACTCATATTCCCTAAAAGCTTGGGAGGAATCCTAGCGTCTCAGCGTGGTTCAGATCACATCTCCTCTCACTAGGAGCACGGGCTTGCGGGGGCTCCCCCGTTTTTTGCTTCCCCCCCCTTGGCGTTTTTTTGTTCTGTTGGCCTTGCCTTTGGGTTCCGGTTTTTTTTCTTTTGGCTTTCTTGGCGGCCTTGGGGGGCCCCCTTTTTTGGGGCTTGGGGCGGGGGTTGCTTTTGGAAGGCGGGGCGGTTTCGGCTTGTTGTTAGCCAGGACGTGGGGCTGCCCAGTGAGAGACTCTTCTCTACCCGTGAGCAAGCGGGAGGCCATGTGGGCCAAGGACGATGCTGCCCTGGGCAGTGACCTGGCGGGCTGTGTTTACAAGCAAAGGGGGCCTGTTTTTAAAAAGCACACGTACATATAAATGTACACATGCACGTACACATTTTTACATCTTGCAGTCTGCCATGCCAGCTTCTCTCACCTATGTAAGAGGGGAGGCTTTCCTGAGGTGAGGGTGGGGTCAGCCCTCGGGTCCACCTGTGCTCATCACAAGGGCAAGACCTTAGGGGACACCCTAAGGTCTGCCCACAGCGTCTTCTTGGGGAGAGTAAGGCCATTCTGTTTTGATTTCGGTAGATAATCTTGTGCCGTGGAAGTCAGAAGGGCAAAACGAAGCAGTCCTGACGAGAAGCGCACCTCAGAAGTCAGGACACCCCCTGTCGGGTGGTTTTGGCGAAATCAAAGAAGGTGGAAGAATGCGGTGCAGTTGTGTGAGCGGAGAGGGGGGCAGGAGTCCGGGCGCTGTGCGGCCGACCCCTCCCCGGCACCTGTGGGTGCCTGCAGCCCAGCCTCCTCGCCATGCCTTTCAAGTACCTGCCAACTACAGTGTAAATGCTAACTAACCATATTGGTATATAGCCGAAAGTTTGTATTAAAAAGGGGATCCTTTTTAAATATATACTGCATAAAAACGAAGTGTACTTACAGGAAAAACTCTTTGAATTGTATATTACATTCATATAGAAAGATTATTTTAGTCAGGCAAAGTATTTTTGCAGTGATTGGAATAAATCATTTATTACCTTTGAGTCCCATTTAGGACACTAATAAAATATGGCAAGGCATGTTTTAGTTCCTTCGACTTCATGTTTGGAGGTCTGAGGGGGCAGGAGGAAGTCCTATGCTCTTCATAGTGCCCTCGCTGGCAGGTGGGCCGGGGGGTGCACGCCTGCAGTGCTCTGGGAACCTGAGGCAAAACGCTGTCTGGAGTGGGGAACACAGCTCAGTGTAAAGGCCACGAGTTCAATCCCAGCACCCCAAGACCAGCAAAACCCCACTCATCTGACCTAAAAAGAGGAGCAGGGAGACCTTCCCATGGGGCCCTGCTAGGCATGGGCCCCCTGGCCCGCCCCAGGCCCACGGAGTCTGGGTGATGTGTGTGCACACAGTGACACTGAACAACTTCCACTCTCCACACTGGTTGGCACAAACCTATCCTAAAACGGCCAGCAAAACCAGGAGTACAAATGCGTAATTAGGAAGCTCGGCTGCTCCAAGTGTCTGCTCTGTACTGGGGAACACGCAAGGCATTTTCATGCATGGCCTTACTTGACCTTCAAAATCAGCTTGCAGGTGAGATTAATTTGCATCATTTCCCAAGTTCAAAATCAGTTGCCCGACCTGTGCCCAATTCCCAAGCCTGTAAGTGGACCCTTATCCCACGATATCTGTTCTCCCAAGTAGCTTGAGGAAGGGGCAGTATACCAAGCAATGAGCCCTAACCAAAGTCATCTATTTCCGGCTCTTCCTCCTGGCAGCAAGATCGGCCTGTTACGCAGCTTGGCAGCGGCAGGTGGCATGCTGGGGATTACAGCAGGGGGTGGCTGAAGGATCCTGAGTGTAATCTGCTCTGGAGACATTGTCCTTGGCAATGTCATGCAGGACGGCTGTGAGCACCTTCCTGACCCGGGGCAGCACGGCCTGGTACTCGGCGCTGCCCCTCTGGAGCGGCACACCTTCTGCAACATCCTTTTCCAGATTGAAGAGGAGTGGGGGATCGTGCCGCTGCTCTGGCCCGATGCTCCCATCACAGGCTTCAGCTCCACCTGGAGAGACAGACAAGGCCAAGGAACGTGGCGTCAGACCCCACTGTGGCCCTGTGTTGTACCGAGGGGAGCTGGGATTGACTAAATACTGATTGAAACATGCCAGCCCCTGAAAATCCAAATGCTTGTGCTCCCTGTCAAATCCCTTTGAGGCCGTTTTCTCCTTCCAGGGATGATCTTATTGTCCACCATGAAGTGGAAGCTCTCTTCAGACCTGCCTTCAGGGCCAGTCTAGCCTTCACTCAAATATCTTTCATCTCTGCCCTATCTAATTGTTCTGAACACTAACTTTTTGAATACCATTTGGGAAATGAGGTGAAGACAAGGTGTGTAATCTCGCCTTGGGTGGAAGATGAGCTACTTATCCAGATTAGAACCTAGCTATTAAGGTCCTGGAAGAGGGGTGACAAAAGTGTCAGGAGGCATCACAGCATCCCTGGCTCTTCAGGAGTCCCAGAACTCCCTGCATAACCCATTTTTCAATGTAAAAGTCAAGTTCAAAAGGAAGTAAAGCAAAGGCTTGGCAGTGGACGAGTTTGCCTCTGAGCATCTCAGGGACCGGGCATTAATAAGACAGAAATGTTATCGACAGCTCAGGAGAAGCAGTACTTTTCCAGCTCAGAGGTCTGAGATTCTGCAACGGCTCCTCCTCCAGGGGATCTGCATCATGGGCAGCTCAACAACGTTCTTCTGAAAAACGATGTTCTTCTGAAAAATGACCTCATGATTAAGAAGGCCCAGCTATGACTTCCTGTCCCACTGCAAGGTGGCAGAGTCATGCCAAAGCACAGGTCAGTACAGGCAAACCTACAGGGACCAGAGCCATGTGACCGAGGATGGAGCTTTCTGGCACAACCTGCCAGAAATAAAATTTGAAATGCTGAGAAGGTGCAGGGTTACACAGCTACAGCACCCCTCCATGCCTCTCCTCCAGTGGCCAGGATTTGGGCTGTTCAGGCAAGATCAGGAGTTACTACCTCCGCAGGGTTTCAGGGTAGGAGCTAACAACTGTCTTCATTACTGGCAAGGGGCACAAGTGACCTGAGCTTTGACAACCAATGAAGTCACAGTGGCAATGGGCTCCTCTTACTAAAAGGAATTTCAAGTAAAGGAACGGTAGAGTCATTTACACAGAACTACCCTCTGCTAGGGAACAATTACTGGATCCAGGCAATGTATTAAAACACAAAGACTGTAGGAAATAAATGAGATGGGCAGAAACTGGAAGAGATTCGACCTTTGAAAGAAGGAAGCCACACTGGGTTGGATCTGGTTCAAAATTTTCCCTTGGGCACACTCCCGGGTCTGCAGCCCAAGCACCTAGGACTCCAGATGAAAACTTTGGTCTCTCTGGCTCAAGATGTCAAGAGTTCAAGACTAGAAAAAAAAAAAGAAAGAAAAAAAAAATCCAGGCGTAGTGGCACTCCTTCTAGCACTAGGGAGGCAGAAATCAGGAGGATCACTATGAATCTGGGCTGTGTAGTGAGACCCTGCACAATTAAAACAAAGAGTTCAAGGCTGCAACAAAAGGAGAAAATTGCTGGGAGAAGCTCTGGGGAGAATAAGACATAGAGCAGATGCCTAAAACCTAAGAGAAACTCCTACTCCTTAGCAGCCCCCGAACAGCGCATGCCGTGGGCAGGATGCTGCACCAGCTTGGAGGAGCAAGGAGCCCGGCAGGGAACGTGGGCTTCGGCAAGTGAGTTCACGAGGCTGCAGGAGTCCGATGGACACCGCACATTTTCTACTGAGGTTAAAAAAAAAAATGGAGTAAAGATCAGGTCTCAAAAAGAAGGAATTTGCCTACAATTAAGGACAAAATCTAAAAGACCAATCCTATAAATGTAAAACAAGCCTCCTGAAAGTTCAAGGGGATCGACTACTCCAACCAATCTGAGACAAAAGTGCCCACAGAGAGAAGCGCAGGGTGCCACCGCACAGCCCTCCAGAGGAAGCAGGGCCCATGGGAAAAGCTGAGCTGCAGCCGGCCAAGCGTTGGAGCCTCAGCATGACAAACCTTGGGAATTAAAAACCCCAGGGGCGGTGGATCACCGGGGAGCCCCACATTCTGTGTCCTACCTCTAGGAGCTCAAGTAGGTTCTCACAGTAAATATGACAGAAAAATTGTGATTCCAGGAAGGGCAGGAGAAAAACAACACACTTTTCTGCTTTCACTACTGGGGACTGAACCAGGGGTCTTCGCGCTGGGTTACATCCCTGGCCCCTTCTGAAAATTTTGAAGCATGGTCTTGCTAAGTCACTAAGTTGTCCTTGCTGAGCTAGAATTTGAGATTCTCCTGCCTCAGCCTCCCAGAGTACCAGGACTATAGGAGCACACCACCATCTTCTTAATTAACAACAGCTATTCGGAAATTGTGGTAGTGAAGATGTTCTTGAGTATTCTGCTTGTGCATACGTACGTGTTTATAAGCGAGAAGAACCGCTGCAATGCTCAGAAGGACGGAGAAGGCCGAGGATTACTGTATTACAGGCACCTGCAAATCTTCGCTGTGACATAATGCTTTCTGAATATGATCTATGCTTTCTGGATATGATGAAAATCTATAAATTACTCCAACAACTGAACATCACAAATTCTTCTCAAGCTCATGAGTAACACACACCAAGTGGTTTAGTTTAGATTTCAAATACCTGCCAAAGGTCTATGTACTGAAGACTTGGCTTTCCGCTCATAGCATTACCAGGATGTAGCATCTAGTGGGACGCTTAGGATCCAGACCTCCACGAGGATGGTGGGCACTGGCTCGTATTTTCTCACTCTCCTTTTCTCTCTTTCTCTCTCTGTCCTCCTGGCTCATTCATTAGGTGAACAATCAAGCCCTCCAGTCAGGATGTGCTGGCTCACCTTGGGCCCAAAACAAGAGGGCCAATGAACCGTGCCCTGAAACCTCAGCCACAGATGTACTTTTCTCTTTTTAAGTTATTTCAGGTATTTTGTTACAGTCATGGAAAGTGGACTAACTCAAGGTAAACCAAAATACTCTGGGCCATAGAAACCTACCACAACAATTTTAAAATAATAGAAATCATACAGTATATAGTCTTCAATACCAGTGGAATTAACCTAGAAATCAATAACAGAAAACTGGAAAATCACAAAACACTTGGAGATTAAACAATGTGCTTCTTGGATTGGGACTGTGGGTCAGTGGCAGAACACTTGCCTAGCATGTATGAGGTCATTAGTTCAATCCCCAGCACTGAAAAACATTATGCCTCCTAAACAACACATCAGTTAAAGGATACATTGCAAGAGAAATTTTGAAATACCTGGAAATCAGTGAAAATGACAAATCTTGCCAAAACGTATGACACATAATGAAAGCAGTACTTAAGAGGGAAATTTACAGCATTATATGGATGTATTAGAAAAGAGAAAAGACCTACACACAAATAATTAAACTTCTACATTAGGAAGCTAGAAATTGCAGGGGAAATTAATTCCACAGTAAGCAAAAGATCAGAAATAAAAATCAATTAAACTGAAAAAGAGAAAATCGATACAACCAAAAGTTGGTTCTTTACAGACAGGGTCTCGCTAGGCAGTTCAGGATGGCCTTGTGCTCACTTCTGTAGCCCCTAGGCTGGCCTCAAACTCTCAGAGATGCTTCCATCTCAGCCTCCCCAGTGCTGGGATTATAGGTGTGTGCCACCACGCCCGGCTCCAAGGCAGCACAGCACACTCAGGGATCCTGGGCTGGCATGACATATGTCTATGGTACCGGGGATTGAATTTGGGTTTTTACATTTGCCAGGCAGGCGCTTAGGCTGCTGAGCTATCTCCTGAACCCCTATACTAGAAGTCTTGGCTGATGCAGTAAGAAAAGAAATCAAAGAAGGAAGAACACCACATTTTTAAAAAGCATTGAGATGTGTTACAGGCATGCCCCAGCTCCCCACAATGAATGTGGTCACAGACTGCACACATATGCTAATGAAAATGAACACTGTTAAAAAGGAAAAAGGATATGCTGATTAGCGAGAGTGAAATAAAACCACTTTTCCATACATAAAACTGTTGTTCATGTATAAGGTCAGAAAGAACCAATCAAAAATCGTGGCACAACTAAGAGATCATAGCAATGTCACAGGATATAAGGGTACCTTACAAATGTCAATCTCCTCTATATAGGCGATCAAGAGGTAGAGCTTGAAATTCAAAACCTAATGCTATTTAGATTATGTTAAAATACCAATACAAAAAACAATAAAATACCATTACTATTAGTATTTTATTTTTTGTCCAAAAATAAAACGCTTGTCATGTCAGGAGTATGACTCAGTGGCATAAGTACCTGCCTGGCAAATGCAAGATCCTGAGTTTGATCCCCAGTACTGCAAAAAAATTTTAAAAAATAAAATAAAATACTTAAGCTTAAATCTAACAAATACCTATAATAGCTATCTGAGGAAAGCTGCAAAGCTCTGATGAAAGAAACAAAAGGAAGGCCAGCCAGATAGCTCAGTGGTCTAACATGCCTGCTTAGGCAGATGCAGCAGCCGGGGTTTGATGCCCAGTGTGCTGTGCCGGCCCCGCCTGCAGGGCGTGCTGAAAGGGCAACTGAGACTGGGTGTGGTGGCGCGCGCCTGTAATCCATCCGAGCGCTTGGGAGGCTGAAAACAGGAGAATCACTAGGAGTCTGATCTATGTAGTAAGACTCTGTAGGCCCTGCACTAAGTACATTAAAAATAATAATACGGTTAAAGGAATGAGAAAAAGCAGGGCAAACTGACAGCTAGTAGAAGAAAAAAAAATTTAAAGTAGAGCAGAGATAAATGAAGTAGATAAAATTTGATAATACCAAAAGTTGTTTCTTTGGAACGATTGACAAAATTGATAAACCTTTAGCTAAATAAACTAACAAAAACAGAAGATTCAAATCACAAATCAGAACTGAAAGTGGGGTACTCCTGGTTATTCAAAAGAACAACAAGTTACAAGAGAGTACTAAGAATTAAATGTCAACAAGTGGAGTAAT